CCTGTTTCACACCTGCATGTCCTGCGAACGTGCATTTGCCACGCTGCTCCATTGATTTCAATGGTCATATCTGCGTGGCATCTAGAAGATATGTTCTCCACACACCATTCTGCTTCGGAATGTCCTTTTTATTTGTATTTCTTTAGCATGACATGTTCATGCTAAAGGAATACACATTTGCATTCACATGTCATGCTAAAGGAATACAAATAAATAGGACATTCCAGAGCAGAATGGTGTGTGGAGAACAAATCTTCTAGATCGTACATTGTGGTGCCATCCACCAGTTGCTCCAGCACCCGCTGGATTTTGGGGTACATCGGTACGGTGTGCGAAGGGAATATTACATAGATATCTGCATGGCAAACACAGCAAATTGGCTCTTCCACTATTTTGTGAGATGCGCGGGATGCATTTTTCTGCTGCTATTGCATGCATGGAAATGCAGCAGAAAACCTCACGACTTGCTGGCCGCATTTGGGGTGCATTTAGAAATCAAAGGTTCAGCAAGTGCCTCTTGGTGCGTTTCCACAGACACATGCCGATCACGCTAGGGCTGCAGCTAACGATTATTTTCAAAATCGATTCGTTAGCCGATTATTACATTCGATTAATCAGATTTTTTTTAAATGGCTCCAGTGATGGACTACTAGTTTGTACTGAGATTGTAGTTAATCACGGGAGCAAGCTTGGAGCGGCGGAAGTAAAAAAAAAAGTGTGGTGTGCAATATAGTACATTATACAGCGGCACAATACATATGCGCTGTATATAATGTATTGCTGGGATTTGTAGTTCTCTACAGATGGTGTTATTCTGCATTGCTGTATAATGATTATACGGCACAATGCAGAATACCAATGACCAGTTATAGAGGAACAACAAATCCCAGCAATAATACATTATACAGGCTGTTTAATGTATTATTGCTAGGATTTGTTGTTCCTCTATAACTGCTGGTATTCTGCAGTGTGCCGCTTTTTTTAAAAACAGGAAACATTAAAAAGGTTTAGAATGTCGTTGCTGAATGACTTACTTTGAATCGTGGGCCCTTGATTGTCGGAGGGCAGCGGCGAGTCAGGAAGCTCACAGGGAGGAGAGGAGCAGAGGCATGCCCTCAGCGTGCGCGGTTTAACCAGCGTGAGCGGCGTGGGGTACGGCGTGGAACGGCGAACAGGCAATTTAATTGATAGCTGAAAACGTTTTAATCGACTAGATCGAATAGTTGTTGCAGCTCTAGATCACACAAACGGTTGTGTGCCGTGGAGCGGATACAAGTGACGTCGTGGGACCTCTTCACCTGCTGCTTGTGCGGTGCGGCCAGTCAGAGTGGCAGAGGGAGAGACTGTTTTCACGGGGGAGGGGGAACTGGGAAATTCCCCCCCCCCGGAGAAAATGGTCTCTCCCTCCTCCGCTCTGACTGGCCACACCGCACAAGCAGCAGGTGAACAGGTCTCCAGGTCCCACGACGTCACTCCGATCTGCTACTGTTAGCGGGGGGGGCAAGGAATAGCCTGGCCCCCCTGTAGCGACGCCACTGATTAGCAGTAATTCCCAGGTTCGTTCTTATACTGTAAACTGCAACTGTGAATGAGCACAATAATGTCACCTGCTAAACCTTGCCTTAAGATTTAGCAGGTGACATTATCGTGCTAATGTTGTGCTTACATTATGTATGCAAGCACAACTATATATTTGTATGCAGTTTGTATTATTAATAAAGCAGTATTACACTATTGCAATCTATTTTATGTTGATATCCTTCCCGCTCTGAGAGAATTTTAGGAGATGGATTTAGAATTATGGAAAAAGAGTTGCGTTATAAACTGGGTGTTCCTATACGGATGTTTTTTCATTCCCATGAGGGAGCTGAAGATAACGGTGGAAATGTGCATATGACCTTTAGATTTTGAGGTCCATTCCATCTGGTGAGTGAGCCTTTCTGAAGGTAGTTATAGATAACATAGTTGGAGCACATTTTATGTGGATTCCCGGGAAAACATGCTGTGTTGTGGATAATTTCCCTGCTTGAAGGTGGTGGATCCATTTCCAAGGACATTCTTTGCACGGTAAGTGAAAAATAGTTACATGGAAACATTGTGGAATTTACAATATTGTATTTAATTTTCTAACACATATTTGTTATTTAGCGCTAGCAATTTTCTGTAGCCATTTGTGAGGATATCCACAACACATGAACTATTTACAGGGACTTGACAAATTTGAAGACACTAATCTTGATGGTTTTTTCACCCTAAGTCATAGTAACTCACCCCCTAATAGCTGAAAGCACCTAGGACATATAGCTAATATGATAATAGACTTTCACATGTATAATTCTACATAATTTATTATTTCTGTGTGGTCCCGTTTACTCTGTTTTCATAGTTTCACACAGTTCTGTAAATAGATATGTACAGTAAGCATATATGAACAACTATGTGACTGTGCCAGGCTACATACAGGGTGTTTGTATCTAGTTTTTACACTTTATATATGGACACAATTTTGAAGCTTTACTTGTGCTTCAAGGGCACACAGACTATGAAGACAAAGTGGGAATTGCTGCTCTCGATGCTTTCACTTAACTTATTGTTTTAATAATATTAGAAGCAGGTAGACAAAAGGTCTGAGGCAGAAAAATGAAGTATCAAATTAATCAAAGAGATGTTTGAGCTGGCCACATATGCCTAGTTGGAGCAGAATCAGAGAAATTGTATCAGGGTTAATATAGCAACACACAGAGAAAGAAGGGCACATGTCCTGTTGCCTCACACAGGAGAAAAAAATTACATTTTTCTTCATGTTGACTCCATTAGCAGTTTTGTTTCCTAAAAATAAACCTTTGCTGAATAACTAAAACACTATTTAACATGTACAGTTCACCACTAAATCACAAAGAATAAGTGCCAATTATTAATAATGATGATAAGAGTCACACCTAACACAACAATGTGACAGGCTAACATGTAAATCAGATTTTGGGAAAGCATGCATATTAATAAAAGATTATTTGCAATTTGTGGAAGGACAAATGTCTTCATTCTTCATTTCCTCAACATCCAACTAGTTTAGCTATGTGGCATACATTAATCTGTTCCCAAATATGCTAAGAAATGTGCAAGCCATGGATCTGAAATCTTGCCCAGCACATGACTGTAGATACAATGTTTGCTGGATAGCTGGTAGTTAAGGCCACAAGCAAGCCAGCACACGTCGGCTCTATTGATCGGGAGGTGAGCGAAAACATACCGCCACTCGCCGACTTCCCGAACATCTTCCTGCAGTCACCGCTCCCTACAGGGATTCCCCCCTCCCCTCTCTGATTCTCCAGCGCTGACTGAAGGCACCGTTGGGGGAGGGAGCGGGCATAGCTGGCTCTGCCTCTAGATAGGCAGAGCCCGCTGTCAATTAAGCCAGCTGGGTGGATCTCAACAGTATTGTCGGGATGTGCCCCGGCTGCGACGCTCTCAGCATATAGCAAGCAATAGACCGCTATATACTGAGTTTTGGGTCATGGGAGGGCATTAGTATATGTCCTCCTGTGACCCTAAAGAGAACTTTGGGGTTACTCCAAAGTTCTCTTTTAAAGCAAGGGATGAAGCATGCAAATGCAAACATATAAAATGTGTGATAATCCTAATTCTATACAAGTTAGGCTCAATATGCAGTCCTGAACAGTTCATCAGAAAACAGTTCAAGGGAATAGTAGTTAGAAACTATAAATCAAGCTAATGTGTACAGTAATTGCCAAATATTCAAGCATATCTATAGGGAAAACATTTTTGGGGGATAAAGTGGCAAAGGGTTAGATTCCCTGTCAGGTGTTTATTACTGTCTGTGCCCCCTCTGGGGAGAATTAACCTCACTATTTGTCATAGTGATTTGTCTAAAAAAAAGATGATGGGAAATCCAAAATTTTATAGTTGTCACCTGAATAGAAATAGAGGGAAATCTTCCAGTGGGCACAACTGATCCAGTGTCAACTGTCTAAGAATGAAATTAATATCACTTTAGAGGTGACGTCTTCAGGACATTCTCTCTACAACAGGAAATAAATAGTAAAAAAAAATAAACTGACAGGGGTTTAAACTCTTCCATAATCTATCCAAAACAAACAGACAAGTTTTGGCTCTGCATACATTTATCTAGTGAAAACTAGCTACTAATAGCATATGCTGGTTGTGCCAAAATGCACTACAAATTGTTATGACCCTAACTGTACTTAAGAAGCTATAAAGTAGATACATAGAGTCAATGGGAAACCAGGCATCGACAAGTGCTAAATGGAAGGCATATTTGCTGCATCCATTCTAACAAAATCAGCTTTTGTGAGTAGATCAGGATGTGCTGATGATCCTTGTCTACAGATAATACAGATATGGTCAGAGATATGAACGCGTGCCACATCTATTTGCATTGCTATAACAGGCGAGCTTACACATACTGATTTTTTATTTATTTATGAATCTTTTATTGAGGAATAAAAGGAAAAAAACAATGGTAATACATCTGTGATGATAGAATTAGGTGGGATGCCAATGCTAACTTTTCGTGAGAATGCTAAACAAAAAGGATAGATGAGGAATTCTGACACTCCTTTAGCACAAGCTTGCTTTGTAGTCCTGCTGGCTATGTTGACCACACATGCAGGTGTCACAGACAGGCAGAAGATATTCCTGTATAGCAGCAAACCTACAATGGCAGAATTGGCGCTAAAGACCACATGATTACCACTATGGAGCAAAAAAACAGTACTAAGTAAAGTGTAGTTTTATCATCTGCATTATTTTGGAGACAATGATCTGGACACTAGATTTCACTTATGTCTGAAGTTTTGCTTTAAGTGCAAGAGTCATTGAAGTGTTTCATTTGAGGGCAATGTGACAATCTTCTTATCATCCTCCTAAGGACTTAGTCTACTGTATTTAAGACTGAATCATACCAACCCCTAATGTCTTGTAACAGATGAATTAAATGGCAGCCCAATAACTAAAGTTACCTGATATGAGGGACTGGGAGTGTTGCATTGGAAAGCGTCCAGTGACACCGAAGACACTGGCTGTAAGGATGTTTGATGCTCCACTAAGAATAGCAACACACACCAGTGAAAGAGCAAAGAATCCCATAGTCCAGGTGGAGGTGTCCACTTTTACCAGCACAGTGACCAGGATAAAAACAAGTAACATAACAAGTAGTGATGACAGTATTCGCACTTGAGAAGTAACCCTGAAAACGAAAAGAAGCACATATTTAGTAGTAGAAAAGATAAATATTATCTCAAGTCTAAACTGGAATATTGGCAACACAATGCAATAATAGAACAAAATACATTTAATTTCAATACAGAATGTGTTTTCATTCAGCCAGGGAATTGGATTGTAAGGTTTGTTTAATGTAGAACTAAGGCGTACCATTCAAAAATTATGTGCTGCAGCACTTAATTATAAGGTCATCTGCACTTAGATTTCTTTTTTTGCCCCTTCAAAGTCCTAGCCAAGTACCAAGTACCTCTAGATTCTGCCGGTGAAGTCCATTAATGCAGCTTCACATTATGGAGTGGCAATAATGCTGCACTGCTTGCACTAAAGTATGACAATAAAAATATAACTGGATATGTGGCTATGAGAATTGTGACCACTGATTCACAAGCCTGTAGCTTGCCAATTAGCACGTAGCTGCACCTAGTCCTGCCCAATGCTTTCTAGATTGACAGCAACAGAATCTATTGCTGAAACCCTCCCACTATGGGCTGGAGGGTCTAGGAGGGGAGCGTGTGAGACTTAAATGAAGGAGGATTTGGTTTAGTCAGGGAAGGTAAAGGACATAATTTACTTACCTTCTGAGGCTTGTCCATTACATTGTAACAGAATTGGGCACTTGTTTAGACTGTCATACAGGAGCCTTTAGTTGCACTTTAACAATGAAATGGTTATAGCATGGACTAGCAGTGCTCTCTTTATCAACAAGCAGTGGTAGCCAGATGTTTAAAAGGTTTTGTTTTTTTTAAAAGGGGAAAAAGCAGGTACTATATTACCAAAAGTATTGGGACGCCTGCCTTTACACGCACATGAACTTTAATGGCATCCCAGTCTTAGTGCGTAGGGTTCAATATTGAGCTGGCCCACCCTTTGCAGCTATAACAGCTTCAACTCTTCTGGGAAGGCGTGCACAAGGTTTAGAAGCGTGTCTATAAGAATGTTTGACCATTCTTCCAGAAGCACATTTGTGAGGTCAGGTACTGATGTTGGACGAGAAAGCCTAGCTAACTTTCTGCCAGAGGGTGGCTACTTTCCTTGTCCATGGTCACTATAGGAGCCGAAAAGCAGCCACATTCTGTGCTCGCTCCAATCTCCTGCTGACATCTCCTCTCTCAAATCCCTCCCATCAGCAAGCAGCAGTGTACAAGTGTATAGGCAGCGGAGATAGAGTAGGAAGGAGGGAAGGGGGTGGGACGGTATGTAAATAGGCACATGTGCAGTGAGAACACTGAGCGCTGTGCATTCTGGGACATGTAGTCTGGAAGAGCAGCATGCTGTCCCACTACTCTCATGAATGTCGGACAAGAAGGAAGCCGGAAATAGCAGAAAACCTGAGGCGCTGCGGGAGTGCGCCTGGCACATTTTAAAAAGCACACATACACTAGCACATACATGCATGGTACATGCATATTGGAAATAGACACGGGATGGTACACCAATCATCTTACAGATATTTTGTTCAATTTCTTGCAATTGTGTTCATTTAATTTGGTTTAAAAGACATTCTTGCTCTTTGTAAAAAGTTATGATCAATATTATTCTGAATAAAAACATGCATATGCTTTCTGGACAAAATATCACACTTCTCCCATACTTACGTGGCCTGCACCACAGCTTATAAGAAAAGAGAGTTAAACTGTTAGCTCTTGTTTGTGAGTCAGTGTTTGTCTCAGCATAAAATGACACTACCCATCATTTTTGTGACAGCCAAGTATACCAGGTAAGTAAGTAAATGTTGTTTATTTTTCTAGGTGATGGAAAAGTTTAACCCCAATCATGAACTGCTATCTTGCTAGCACTATATTGCTGCCAGTTATTTTTACCACCCCTTCCTCCACAAGGTATGTATATTTATTCTCGCTCTTACATAAATGTATACTGGTGGCAGAAGCAAGATGCTAATAACCTCAGTTCAGGGAATGTAGAAAGCGGTCTGAGAACTTTCCCATGCCTGCCATCAGTGGGAGATAATTAGCTGTCTGAACTGGGTGCACACTTATAGATCCCGCTTGTATGCTTATCAGAGAAACTCAGAGTAGATGGGATAGTAACCAGAAAGGTAAAATAAACACCGTAAATAATAGAAGATGAAAAGACGGTCGCTGTTGATAGTTGAGATGTTTATCACCAAACTATAAAGTTTTTCAAGTATCAATATTGAAATAGCAGCCTCCTGCCTTCTAACAGTGGCAGCCCTACAATAGCAGAAAGTCTTTCTTATTTTCTCCAAACTTACCTGTTCTCTGTTCACATTTTATATGAGGTGGGCACAGACAAAATAAGACCCCTTGCCCACCCTGCTCCCTTTCAGTCATAAAAGGTAGCAGAAGCCCCAAAAGTGCAACTAAAGTCAAAACATATTTTTTAGTTTTGGATAGGGAGATCCACCCTCTCGATTTGTTGGTGAAAGTGAAAGAAAATCCCAAATTTTGGGTTGTCACCAGAACAGCAATAGATGGGAAATCTTACAACGGGGGCACTAGGTATGGTGACCCTCCTGACCACCAGAGATTTCCCTTACTTCCTGTTGTGGCTTCTTATATTTGAATAGGAGTAGAGCATTCTTTTTTTTTCTCAAGCATGTATATATTTAATAGAATTTTTGAAACACACAAAAACTACAAGACAGTCAAGTGTCAATTGTATCTGAGCAGTTTTGCAACCAAAGCAATCGTACAAAAAGAATTTAATGAGGGAGACATAAATGCAAAGTATATATTGCTTGGTTATGACAATAATAGCTGTCATACAGAGGTAATATAATGTAATATAATCATATCGTTATATCAATACTGAGATAACTAGAAAAGGGTGGAGAAAGTGAGATGTACACCATTCTTATAATGTATAACCTAAGTTTCATATGAAAGGCCATCTCCAGGTAAGCCATCCCCTTTGGAACACACCATCCCACCGCCACTCCTCCAGATATTTCCTTTTATCTTGTTTGAGTCCAGGGGAAGAAATATTTTTTAAGTCCTGCTCTGGTCTTCCAGTATCACTGGGGAAAGGGGTCTGCAGGGCACTCTGTGTGACATAAGTACGACCTGCAGAGCTAGAGGGGGGGGGGGGTCATTGAGGAGACCGGCCACCCAATTCACAAACTGGGGTGACCAGTCTCCTTAACAAGAAACTCTTAGACTCCATGCCCTGATGGATCACACGTCACCAGCTTTCACAAGGGATCATCCAGATAATTTGGCAAGTTGTGATCCTGTGGTGGTGCCTGCTCTACTGGAAGACTGTATGTGGGCCTACACTTCTCAGGTATGCCTGCTACTATTCCTGACAGCAGGGGTGGGAGACCTCCGGCCCCCAGCTGTGGTGAAACTACAAATGCCATGATGCATCTGTCTCTGGGAGTCTTGCTTGTGGCTGTGAGAATCTTGCACTGCCTCATGGGAGTTGTAGTTTCACCACAGCTGGAGGGCTGGAAATTCCCCACCCCTGCCTTACAGTGTAGCTGGAGGGTCCACAACAGCACAGTTGTCACCCTAACACCCATGAAGGCTGGAACCCTAGTAACGCTGCTTTTGGCTATACATTCCAGATGCTGAGTGTAGTGTAATCTAAGTGATTTTTACTTACACAATGCTGTTTTGTCTTTCTATGTATTTTATGGCGTTAAATCTGTATCTGGTGTTATCTGTAAATTTTCCATAATTAAAGATGACACGAGAGGGGTACATGAAAAATTTCATCAAATGTTCCACTTTTACGTTACTACAGTCCCGCACTTAGTACAATATTTGACTGCACTGTCCCAAAGAAACATTCTTTTAAAGGGAGGTAGAATCCCTTCAAGAAACCCTGTCTCCAGATGAACCATTTCAATAAGAACCTTTCCATGAAATTATTTGTGCATAAAGCCTCCCTTGTGTTGACAGCTAAAAGGCCTGAGTCTGATGTTGGGCGCCGCCATTATGGATGTGATCTCAGCAGCCATGGCAGGCTCAGAGCTGTAGGTCAAGTGACACTCTACAAAAAGTAGGCAAACTCTGGCCCACCAGCTGTGGCGCAACTATAAATCTCACTAGGCATTGCTGGAACTGACAGCCACAGACATGACTCCCAGAGGCAGATGCATGATGGAATTTGTAGGTTCACCACAGCTGGAGGACCAGAGTTTGCCTACCACTGCTCTATAGTATTATTTTTGATGTGCATTTTTGGTTGCTGGGCCTCCAGTGCGTCCCTGCACCTTTTGAGGTACACCTGCATTTAATTTATCAACTGCATTAATATGCTCCCACTTGGAGACTCATATAGAGTTAGGACCACACTTTACAGAGGTGCCTTGACGGGTCGGTGTGGCTTCTACATATTTGTGGCCAAAGGTTTGTGCAACTAAAACCTCTACTTTTAACGCATACTGTTGACAGGGTAATTTGTTTTGTGCAGGCTAGCTGGCAGGTGTGCTGGGGATTTTTTGGTGTTTTGTATTGCTCTATAGTATTCCCTTTCACTCCTCCCTGGGACCTACATAAAAGTTTATGTAGGAAAGTGAGGGACCGAGGAGCTGGGCTAGCACAGATTAAATAGGCACTGCCAGAAGAACAGAGGGCTGTGATGTGCAAGGAGGGGGGCTGTGCTCAAATTGACTCTTCCTGAAGAAGTCAAACTTGCTTGCAAGTTCAAAGACACATTGCCTTTCTGAATAAAATATAGTTTATGGAAAGAAAAATGCTGCAAGTAAGCATTAAGAATACTTATTTTTGGGGGCTTTTACACGCAATTTTTTAAGTTGGTGAGTGGCTCTCCTTAAACAATGACGGTGTAAACACCCTAAAAATTAATTCCACATGCAGGACAAGGGAAACACGTCAAGCTATTAAAGAATAGACCTTTAGTTTGGGCTCTTGCTGCAAGGAGAACTAAAACTCCTTTTGTTACATTTTAGATGTGCAGATGCTCCTTGGGTTGCAATCAATCGACTTACGATTTTTCACATTTACAATTACGTTTACTGTACAGTAAACTCCCAGTTAATCGGCACCCACAGATCGGTAGGTGCTGGATAACTGTAGTTTCTGGTTGCTTGAGAGTTAATAGTAACTCGCAAGCAACCAGCCCTGATGTGCTAGGCTTCCCTTTTATGTGCATGCAACTCGCAAGCAACCAGCCCTGATGTGCTAGGCTTCCCTATTCACCTGCCGGCTCGCTTCTGCAGGCGGAAGGTGAATGTAAACAGCCGGGATAAATAGCAAGACTGCTACTGGCTATTTCAAATTGCAATAGCAGGCTAGCTATTACACCTGCCCACTAAGCGGAAGAGCAGACCTAAGAGAGAACTTTCTCTCTCAGGTCCATTCCTCCTCTTGATGGACGGGGATTTAATTGTCAGCCTTTGCACTAGCCAATAGCAGTCTTGATATTAATTCCCATTGTGTTCGGTCTGCTGCCGACCGCGACAGTACAGTTCACTACAGTCCACTTCCTGGTTTATGATATTTTCGGGTTACGATGGATTTCCGGGAACGTAACTGATCATAACCCGAGGAGTATCTGTATTGTAAATTTTATGTGCATGTAGCGGTGGAGCAGATTTTGTACCCGACGTGTCTCATAAGTAAAAAGACACAGAACCCTGCTGAGAGGTAGCACATTTATTACATGTCACAGAACTTTTTAAATGTGCCAAAAAAAGCTAGGATAGGAAAACCCAGCCACCAACACAAACCAAAATGCTTTCAAAGTCATGCAAGGAAAACATGCTGAACACAGTTCATCCCTCTAGCTAAAGTAAAATTAACTGAAGATACCCACTGAACAGCTTTTCACTATTGCGTATGTAAATTTGACCTTTCAATGCTGTTTCTTGTTGTTCAAATATCATTTGTGGAAAATGCTAAATGCTTAATGAGGGAATTTTTATTATAGAGCAAACAAAATAAATGCTTGAGAAATTTAAAAGGCAATCTTTACCTGTTTACCAGGAAGAAATTCAGCACAAGACATGGCACTGACGGTACAGAACTGGCAATGGAAAAGTAACTTTCAAAGTAGTCCTGGGAGAGAAAAAGAAATGAACATGAGATCAGATACAAGTACACAGCAATATGTTGCATAAGTAAAGCCTTTTAGAATGTAAAAACTGTTCTCTAGACTCTGGGGAACTGTGCACGAGGTAATATTTCTTGTTAACATGGAAGGGTTAAAAAAGTAACACTCTTGCGCATGGGCTGGAGTTACGTCATTGGGGTCCGTCCATTCAAGTAGCCAAACACTCGAAATCCAGAAGACCAGGGAGAAGATGGAAGCGCCGATAAGGGAGAAGTACACCTCTGGAGGGGATTGTTTTGGTAAGTAGGTGTACCATAATGTGCTAATATGCTGTCCATACTAGAACATTATGGCTAAAAGCTTCAAGATAGGTGGGGCTTTTTTTTCTTAATAGCTTTACTTTCACTTTAAGGAGACCCCAGTCTGTGAACCTGTCCTCTCAATGACTCAAAGACTAGCTCTGTAGGAGGTACCTATGACAGGCAGAGTAGGGCTGCAACAACTAATCGACATAAATCGATTATTGAAAAAGTTGTCAACTTTTTCATTCATCGATTAATCGGCTTCCGATTGGTTGGCCCTGTTCACGGCTCCACACACGCTACGCGCCACACCTCCTCCCCACCTCACGCCGCCAGACCCGCCCGGCCGCATCCACGCTGCACACGCCGCACCTCCTCCCCGCCTCACGCTCACTGCCCGCCCACATCCACGATCGGCACAGGGGCGCGGGGAGAAGAAGTAAGGAGGAGCAGGTGTGGGTGGATGACAGCCGGTGATAGACAGGACCGATCTCAGAAACAAGTTGCTGGAAGACTGCTCAGGTAAGCCACCACTTTCCCACACATGGTGCTCTATAATGTATTGCTGGGATAGTGGGATTTGTATTCCTCTATAGCTGATGGTACATTCTGCTGTACTGTATATTATACAGAGCAATGTACCATCAGCTATAGAGGAATACAAATCCCAGCAATACATTATACACTATATGTATAATGTATTGCTGGGATTTGTTGTATTCCTCTATAGCTGGTGGTATTCTGCATTGCGCTGTATAATATATTATTGCTGGAATTTGTTGTACTCCTCTATAGCTGGTGGTAGTCTGCATTGCGCTGTGTAATATATTATTGCTGGGATTTGTTGTACTCTATAGCTGGTGGTATTCTGCATTGCGCTGTATAGAGGACTACAAATCAAGGAATAGTACATTATACAGCGCAATGTGGCATACTACCAGCTATAGAGGAGTACAACAAATCCCAGCAATAGTACATTATACAGTGGTGCAATGCCGAATACCACTAGCTACAAAACCCAGCAATAGTGCATTGTACAGCGCAATGCAGAATACTGCCAGCTATAATGTACTATTGCTGGGATTTGTTGTATTCCCCTATAGCTGGTGGTATTCTGCATTGTGCTGTATAATGTACTATTGCTGGGTTTTGTAGTCCTCTATAGTCTATGCCATTCTTCATCATTGCTGTATAATTTTAAACTTTTAATTTTACTATATTGCACACCACACTTTTTGTTTTCTTTTTTACTTCCACTGCTCCAAGCTTGCTTCTGTGATGGAGTGCAATCTCAATCAATCTGCAATCAATTTTTTAAAATGTATTTTATTCTATTGTTTATCCGATTAACCGATTAATCAAACTTAATAATCGGCTAACTAATCGATTTAAAAAATAATCGTTAGCTGCAGCTCTAAGGCAGAGAGTCTTAAAATGGCTCTTTAGTTTACAGCAGTATTGTACTTCAATCCCAATAATTTTAAAGTAGCTACAGTAATAAGTTCACAATTGTATTAGGCCACATGGCCTATAACAACCATTAACAGTTCTGATTGGAATAGCAGCACCTCTTGTCCACTTATGTTTGCACAAAACCAAGAAGCACTGACATTCTATTGGCTGAGCTGTAGCCATGTTGGCCTGACACATGACTTACAGGTAACTTTAGTTAGTCTTACTTGATTCACTCCTCCATGTGCCTGACTTGCACATCTACTTTAATGTTCATGTGATGTGATCTCTCCATTTCTGCCTAGGAAGCAATGAAAGAGATGCCTGGTTTTCTCTATTCACCTTCATTTATAAGCTTCTTAACTTGCCACACATATAAACCAGTTGTTGGATAATCCATGATATCATGCAACAGCATCTGTCCATGTATGACAACCTTTACATAACCTACCCAATCACACAAAAACAAGAACAGACTCTGACAGGCTTTATCATAATGATCATATTTAATAAGGAGGACAAGATCTCAAGTTGACAGGCTTCCTTGTCAAATGCAGCCATTTCAGTTTGAATGCAGCGTTTGACTAGAAAAGTTACATTTGACCTGCTTTGCTTGCAGTTCAAAAGCAGTACGACATGCAGTGTCCAAAGAAATGCAGAGCAAAGCAGGTCGTAATGGTCATGTGTACTACTCAATCAAAAAGTCAAAGGCAATTTGTAGACCTGCCTTTAATGTGCGTTTCCAATGCAGCAATACAATGCCCAATGACATGAACACTAATTAGAACCTACACAAAAATAGAACAACTTTTTAATACAGCATTCGGTTTAGTTCTTGATCCCTAAGCACACGAAACTGGACAGAAAAAATGATAATGTACAGCTCTGAGAATAAAAAGTACGGCTATATAACTTTCCAGTCTGTCGGAAGAGAATTAAATGACATTCTGCTTTAAGTGTTGAGGTGGTGGTTGGGTTCCTCAGATGGAGCACAGGACTGCTCTTCTGGAAGAAACAAATAGTCCCAGTTTTGCTCTAGCAGAGCATTTAGCAGGCTGATTCCTTCCCTAACTGCAGATTTCAATATTTAATCCTCAGATATATTAAACATATTTCAAGGTTAAACAACTTTGGCACCATTCATCAGCTTCAACTTTAAAATCAACTTTACATGCTTAAAATGGCTTTTCTGACCTGGTTATGCTTCTCTAATAAAACCCAGATATTACACCTGTACATGAAATAGCAACGTTTTTTTTCTCATGCTAGGCAAAGAAGAGATGAGGAAGATGGATATTATACAGATATGTGTACATAGCGAAAACAAGGGTGTCAACACGTAAGAGTTTACAGGATATAGGGTAGGGATTATTTAATGCACAGCAGACAGCTGTAGCAGTTGAGTTGAAACCCAGCAAAAGCAGCTAATGGGGTGCAAACAAAGAGCAACACCTGGTTATAGCCGTACAGATATCAACCTGTCCTGGTGTTGGTCCGGTAGGTCACTGGGAAGTGATTGGCAGAATAGCACTGTGAGGATGCAGTGTCAATGAAGAGTTGTTTGTTATGTCACTTGCTCTATATGCAGCACATTTAGATTTGCTCTGTATTGCAACTCATTGTATTACAGCTGTTGTATTGTACTTTTGTATTGTACTTTACATTAACTAGGTAGTTCCTATAGAAGGGGCATAGAATGTGGGATCCTCTTTGTAGGACAGCACTATGGATAAATTAGACTGAACCAGTCTATTTATGAGGGGGTAAGTAGAGATATGGACGGAGGTAAGCCGGTGGATGTGGTATATCTGGATTTCTCAAAGGCTTTTGATACGGTACCACACAAACGCTTGCTACACAAGCTGAGGGCTATGGGCATAGATGAGGTGGTGTGTACGTGGATAGAGAACTGGCTACGGGAACGTGTCAAGAGGGTATCTGTAAATGGCACCTTTTCAGACTGGGCTAGTGTAATGAGCGGTGTGCCTCAGGGTTCTGTGCTGGGTCCCATATTGTTCAACTTATTTATTAATGACATCGGGGAGGGTGTTAACAGCGATATTTCCGTGTTTGCGGATGACACCAAAATAGGGAGGGTAATAGACACGGACTTAGACACCATAACATTACAGGAGGACCTGGATAAAATAGGGGAGTGGGCATTAATGTGGCAGATGAGGTTTAATGTCGATAAATGCAAAGTGATGCACTTTGGAATTAAAAATAAACAAATGGGTTATACAATTATGGGTATGCCGCTGGGGAAGTCAGAAATGGAGAAGGATTTGGGGGTCATTGTAGACCACAAACTGAAAGGTAGTTTGCAGTGCCAGGCTGCTGTAAACAAAGCTAG